AGAGTAAGACAAACCTAATTTCCAAATTTCATGCAAATCGGAGCATAGTAAAAAAAATTCAGATCCAGAACGCTCCATTGACTTGAGTAAATAATCTCTATCCGATGGAAAAAATATGAAAATACTAACGTTAGTACGTGAAAAAGGTACGTGAAATTATTTGATTTTTTTCTCGCCGTAAGAACCATCTTTGGACTTCAACGAACATTTAAAAAAAAGAATTGGCCAAATTGGTCCAGGCGTTGTTGAGTTATGCGCTTACCAACACATTTTGCGATTCATTTTTATATTATAGATTTGTCTGTCTCTATACTAAGTATCCACTTTAGTTAGATAAGTTAGTTAAGTTAAAATTCTTAGTAAATCAGCAAAGTTAATTATTTAAATCAATCCTAAATAACAATTTTATTTCATTTCTGGCCTCAGGGCAGAAGAAATTAATTATTAAATTTATTCTATATCGGCTCGATTAGGTTTTGTTTGTGCATATATGTTTACATATCTTGTAAAAGATACACATAAATTGTTTGTAGAATACGTTCGTTGCCTAATTTAATGAAATAAGCACTTATAAATTTACGGGACTGACAAGAATCTATTTCAAAATATTTAAAACGATTGGTGTAATCAATAAATTTTTATTGATCAATTGGTATTTTTATTCCCTAAGTTATAGTAATCGCAAAAAAATCGAAAATGAAAATCTGTATATATATATTTACTTTTCCAAGGTTTTTGAACATTTTGGCATACCTTAAAATTAGAAAAAATGGATGTATGTATGTGTGTAAGCGGATACAAATTTTTGTCGACGATTTCGGGAACACCGATTAACCGATTTGAATAATTCAAAAAACATTCGATTCGTATTAATAAGGAGACGTGCTGATTAGTTTTTGGCGAAGGCAGGTCTAGCCGTTCCGAAGATACGGGGCAAAAAGTGACAAAACTCAGTTTTTAAGACGGAATGTCCGATTTTAATAATTCAAAAAAGATTTTACTTGTAATGATAAGATGAAGAACTGATTAAATTTTTGGGATGATAGGTCCAGGTTATGGACTCTCAATGAAAATAAGATAGAAAAATGACATTTTGCGGTTAAAAATGTTTATTGGACATATGCACATCAAATTATCAGATATTTAATAGAGATATTAATAATGTGTACATATTTTGTGTAATTTTTTTTGGGTTTCGTACAAAGATTTTCAATTACGGTAAATTTGTAGATTAGACCCCTTCGATTATTCAAATAATTTCAGCATAGTCTCGAATAGTTTTTGTATGAGCGTCGTACTGATTCAGCATCCAAATATGCTATCAATGTTTAATATAAGATCTTACACAAGTGTTCTATAGTTTCTTGATATAAGAGTACCAGCAAATTTCCTATTATAGATGAATGATCGTATTTCTCATAGCACTGCACCGTGTTTTTGAGTGTGAAACTGTGCCAAAATCCGGCGGATACATAGGTAGACGCAGCCGTGAAAAGCGCGAGAGACAAGGTGCGTGTTTAGTGCATTGAACAACGCAACTGTTGTTTGCAGACTGTGATCTGCTTGAACTCGGTCAGGACCGAATCTTTGCCTATTCGTACTATCTAAAGATTTTTCTGTTTTGATCATTTGTACATTATTCATTATCACTTATCAAACCTAAATAGTATTCACTTCGTGTCGTTATAAAAATAAATGAATATGTATATATAGCTCGTATTTCCAAAATTGAATAGCTATTAAAGCGGTCCAGCACTGTGGTTTTTGTTAAGTTTTTTAAATATTTAAAATAAAGGGTATGGGCGTGTTTCCATACAGAATCAATCCCCGCCCTGGTATTTAAATGATTTTGATGCCATTTTATAGGTCTTTTCGAGAAATTTCGAAATACCAAATTTCAAATCCGTAACTCATAATTTGGCCGAAATATCAGTGAAAACATGTGAAAGTGGTCCCTTTTTTCAAACTCACGTTTTATCGGAAATATGAGAGATATCGAAAAAATGTTAACGTCATTCTATTTATACTGATATTGTTTATAACAAATAATGCGAAAAAAATATTTGTTAGTGCGCGAAAAGGTGAAAATGATTTTTCATTTTCTATTTTCTACCAGTGCGGCTTTTTGGACTACTTTTAAATTAGCATCATTCGAAAGCCTGTGCATTTTTCTTCTGTTATTCAAAAATTCATTTAAATGTAGGTGGAACTTTGTGGTGAAAAGTTGGAAAAACTTAAGCTAGTACACGCGCTGCCGGTACAAGAACACCCATATAAAGTTATTATTTTTTCCTGTTCATTCAAGATATTGCGAACGCTCTGGTGATTTTATTCACAATTTTTTGGACACCAGGAACTGCTTATAAATTATTGGCCCTTAGCTGGATCTATACACTTTATCAACTCCTTCTGTAAAACATATCTATGATATATTACCCTCGTACAACCTCGCCATTCTCATATTTTTTACGCTTTAATTAAAGAGACATGTTTGGTCTTCATAAGAGTAACTACTATTATGTAAAAGTACGAAAAGCAAAAAACGCGAATTCAGCATTTATAACTGTGCAATCACTATTAATGTATAGTTTTCAAGTTTCAAAATTATCTTTGATATATTTGCGTGCGTAAATCGGTACTACACAATTAATTTGATATAATTGAAATGACTTTATATAACTATAAAATAATTCACAATTATAAAACATCCAAAATATTTACATGATTTAGAAAATCATTGTTACAACTGACGAAATTTTTCATATTTACATTTTGCCTTATTAACATTTTTTTTTAAAAAGTTCTTACTCGCTTAAAGCTCGTAATTCTAATTTTGCTCGTATGTTAAACAACTAAATGATCCTTTGGGTGCTTTTATCTCAAAACAACTATGAAATAATTTACAAAATATTTCTATGGTAGGAAAATCATCATTGTTGCCATATTAACGTATTGTTAAAAAACTTACTCGCTCCAAGCTCGTATCTCGAATTTTGCTCGTATGTTGAAGCATCGAATCGCTCCTTTGGCTTGTCGTATCTCGAAACACTCGTACATCAGGTCATTTGCAAGTCGGGGTATCACTGTATATAATTTTTATAAATATGAATATTCGTACCGTTTTTGTATTTTTTGTCCATAGTCGCTATAAAAATAAATCAGGATATCTAATTATAGTGACCTATGACACCGTCTCGTCTACATAGTTACAAATTCGAGTTATACTTCAGAATTTCCGCCTTGGTTTGTTTTACATGGATCGAATAACGCAACCCCATTTCTGATTCTAAAATTAACATTCGACACTCACTTGCGTCGATACTAATTGCGTGTTAGGGGATGCTTAGTGGAAGAACTATCCTTGTTTTTGAGTATAGTTTCTTCAAATCATTTTCTGTTCTAAGTGACATTTGTTTCACAAACAAGCAAAGCTAATAGCACGTCCACTTAAATTAGGAGGCGATGCGTCTAACTGCCGAAAGGGACATATATCGTTATTATAAGGATTGTAAGATCTTTGCCAAACATAAGTAGTGCCTTATGGCAAATTGCCGAAACTTCTCGTACCGTAATTTTTGGTTTTTTGAAAACTTTGAAAAAAATTTTTTTGAGAATTTAGAAAATTTTGAATTTTTTTAACATTGTTTGAAAATGTGGAAAACATTTGAATTTTGTTTAAAGCGAGCGATAAATAAATTTACTATTTATTGGCTGAATTATTTTTAGATATATATTTAATTTTTAACTTTCCGTAGGTAAGTTATTGTAATCGTCCAAAAATCGAAATTGAAAATTTTTCAAAAATTCAATTAGTAATGATTGGGAGAAGCGGTTATTAGTTTTTGGCAAAGGCAGGCCTAGCCATTTTGAAGATACAGAGCTAAATGTGCAAAAAATGGCAGTTTTTGAGAGAACTAAGCGTCCGATTTAAATGATTCAAAGAACTTTCTGCTTGTTTTAACAAAATTGGTTTTGGAAAAAAAACTTTTGTTTCAAAATTTTTTTTTTAATTTTTTTTTTTGTATATCGAAAATAATTCAGATTTTATTTTTAATTCTGACTAAAGTTCTAATATACTTTAAACAAATAATTTGAACTTTGCAATTCAGTTTATATAATTCTTATAAATATTACACAATGTTACAATATTTATAATAATCTATTCGAAAACATTCAATATTCCTCGAATATTTCTTTACGGTACGGGAAGTTCCAGCAATTTGCCTTAAGGCATGATGCCATACACCCCCACTAGTTTAGTTATAGAACGAGATAATTATTCAATGTCAAAAAAATTTGAAACAAAAGCTTGCTATTCGATTCTTTTGTTTGACTTTTTGATCTATCAAAACATCATATTTATAAATATTTAACATTAAGTATTACCACAAAATTAAATTGCTGGAATTTCGCATTTAATAAACAAAAATCAGATAAATAATACATTTTTTTAAGTCTAAGATATTGAAAGTATTTTTTTATTGGAATTTTATATGTATGAATACGAAATTAAAAATTAGATACGAATCTAATATATATTTTTGAATTTTCAATTACAAATTGAGAAGTTTCACTCGAAAGTGTTAAATTGAATCTTATAAGTGTTCAATGTGAATCTTTGTGAATTCTCATTAATTGGCATGGCACCCAAAAGTTAGTACATAAAATGCAGTATTCAAATCTGTGTGAAATTTGATAATCTGATGTGCTTTCATAATCAAACCTTATTGTTTTTAGAATATAAATACGGACCAAAAACCAAAGCGGTTTCGTCAAAAAAGCATGGTAAATCCACAAATCACAACATAATACACTCATACATAGACTAAGATACTTACATGTTAATAAACTTCTAACAACAAATAATTGACTGCATAGGTGATTATTTGTGGCAGACGACCTATCGTTAGTAATAAACAAATTGACATTTATATTATTTTCACAAGTGCATCATATAAAATGCAAATTGTTTAATAATGTGTCTATTATTATTTCTTCAGACGCCTGCAGCAGTAGGAGTACGCCGCGCGCCCAGCCAGCGCCGTCGACGCCGCGGCCCAACGTTACATTCACCACTTATCCATGTCCGACGACGTACAACGCTTGGTATTGTCTGAACGGAGCAGTTTGTTTTAGTGTAAAAATCGGTGATTCCGTGCTTTATAATTGCGAGTAAGTATTTTATGATTTTAATAAAAAAGCACTTCTACAATAACTTGATCCTAATGTAAAATTAATGTTTAATATGACTAGTGGGGCGCATGGCATCGTGCCTTAAGGGAAATTGCTGGAACTTTCCGTACCAAAAAATATTTTTTTTAAAAAAGATTAACATTTTTGAAAAAAAATTACTTTGAAAAAATTAGATTTTTGAGAAACTATAAATTTGACAAAAAGTTACTTTTTTTAAAAAAAAAATTTTTTTGAAAAAAAAATGTTTTCTTTATTTTGATACATTTTGAAAATTCTAAACTATTTTCAAAGCAATCGTACTGCTTTAACTGCATAGAGACGAAATGTCAAAGCGCGTAAGCGCCGCGTCGCCGTCTATCGGATAAACATTGGTACGGAACCCATAGGAATGTAAACAAAATTTATACTTATTGTTAAAATCTCTGTAAAATATCTGATAATTTGATGTGCATATGTCGAATTTCATGCCAAAATGTTCAGAAGGTTTTGAAACGTAAAGATATATAAAAATTTTCATTTTCGATTTTTTTGCGATTACTATAACTTGCCTACGGGAAATTAAAAATTCGATTAATTTATTATCTGATTCATTTTTTGAGAAAGACATTTTATTTAATATAGTTAGATATTTTCTAATTTAGAGACGTCTGTCTCTACATGTGTATATTTATTAATTGACTTATTAACTTTCCGTAGGGTAAGTTATAGTAATCCCAAAAAAATCGAAAATGAAAATTTTCGGAGCGTTCGATTTAAATAAATCAAAAAACATTTTACTTCTTTTGACGAAATGAATAACTGGTAAAATTTTTGTAGAGACAGGTTCTCAGAAGTAAGAATAAAAAAAAGTAAAAATGTCATTTGGCGGTGAAAAATGAACATTAGATATAGGTACATCGTATTATCAGATATTTAAGATAATCAGATAATAAAGATTATAACAATAAGTACAAATTTTGTTTACATTCGTACCAATGTTTACACGTTAGACGACCACGCGGCGCTTACGCGCTTTGGTATTTCGACTCCAAATCAGCTATGCAATGCGATTGCTTAAAAAAATGTTCAAAATGTTCAAAATAAATCATAATATAAAAAATCAAATTTTTCAAAAGTGTCATTTTTTTTCAACAATTTCAAAATTTCTCAAAAATCTAAGTTTTGCAATGTTTTTTTTTAATAATTTAGTTGGCACGATGCCATGCACCACTAGTTTATTTAAAATAATAGCATGTGGCAAATACACTATCGCGATTTATAATCAACCCTTGCGAGCGTCGTCTATAGATGACATTGGCTTGATGGCTTGTGTCGTCTATAGACGACATCCAGTATGACAATATTGGTTTAATTTTATCACTCTGAATTAAATTATTGAGAATGCCAATTTGTTATTATGTTTCTACTATTTTGAAGTTTATTTTTTAATTTTAAAATACATTTTCATTGATGATGATGATAAAATCTGAAAATATTTTGTGTAACAAATACTTGGACAGTTTAGTGGCACTGCGAGAAATAGTTAGAAGAGTTAATAATTTCACTCAAAATGTATTTCATTATATCAATAATTAATAATTTCCTTTTTATTCCCTTGCTTATAAACTCATTGAAAATATATATCGAGATATTATGCAGATATTTTAATTTTATCATTCATATCATATAATTTTGCCCTGTTCATTATTGAAGGCGGTCCGAATTTCTGCCCGATACGATTAGATTTGAATCGAGTTAAGTGAATTATCAAATTTAGTCATATCAGATATAATCTTGTTTTATAATGAGTACAATGATGTAATTAATGTTGCTATTTAAAACGATATTTTATATTTTGAAAATGTTACAGATGCGCGGATGGTTATATGGGGCCCAGGTGTGAATATAAAGACCTTGATGGATCTTATCTTCGTAAGTATAATTTTATTATTATTGAGATGTAATTGGAACATTTAAGTTCCGTGTATAATGGATATAATTTATTACTATATTAGAAATAGACATTTAATTAACTTTATTATCTACAATTACTTTGTTACCTTATTATTTTATATATTTGTCACATTTTTTTTCTTGCGTCTTCTTCATCTTTTGAGACATATAATACTTAAATAATGTAATACCTAAATTTTGCTATAATTATCTGAATTAAACTACTAACTCTGAATTCCTTCACTTATTATTATTATTTTTTTTAATATATTTTAACAGCAATCAGAACCTTACGTCCTATGAGCTGTTGGGCTGAAACTTCTCCTTTCTTCGTATTTTTTACATGGTAACCCAATGGTTAATCCATCCATATTTGATGATTTTTTGTTATTAGATTTAATTTAATAGGGCTGACTTGGAAATATATTGCTATCTATATTTCCAAGTGAAAATCGTTGTCACTGCTGCCTGACAACAGGCTGTTTGAAGTGGGTATCGAACCCGGGACCTCTGATTCAGGTCCCGTCGCTCTTAACCGCTTACCTACGGGCGAGCCCTACTTAAAATTTGAACGAATGAATTGATTTTAAATTTATTAGTTATCTAACAAATCGTTATTTTCCTCTTACAGCCTCCCGTCAGCGTATAATGCTTGAGACAGCGTCAATAGCTGGTGGCGCAACAATTGCTGTGCTTTTAGTGTTAATTATATGCGCTGCGATGTATGTAAATTGGAGTAGGCGTCAAAAAGTTTTAAGGGCCTCGAGAGACTGTGTAGATGGGCCTTCGCCGCCTTGTATCGAACGCAGACCTTTTGGGCCTCACCATCATCACACCATTCCTATGGAAAGGATCGTGTTGAGGCCTCCGCAGCAGCCTATGGTGCTGGCGCATGGCAGGGTCCAGCGGCAGTTAAATGCAGGCATCACGCAGGTGATTAGAAAGAAACTAGAATCGCGACGTTTATAGACGATAGATTTTTTTTTTTAATATTTTGGAATGTATGTTTATTTATTAGCTTTGTAACCAATTTTTTGATACATTTAAATTGTGAAGCGTTTGTATGTGATTGAATAAAGTATTATTTTAGGATTTGTTGTTTTAAATGTTTTTAGATTATTGAATGTGGATGATTGGAATCTTTATCTATCAATGTTCGATTATAGTTTATTTATTTATATTAATGATTCAATTTAATCTTCATGCATCGTTTAATGATTCTTGGAAATAGTGTGTTTCAATATGACTTCAAATCAATTGGCTTTTTTAAGTGCCTATAATTAAATTTAAGGAGGTATTCTAGTGTAGAAATTCAAAAAAATCGATTTTTTTATATCATATTTTCAAAATTTAACTATTTAAGAACATGGGTACGAGAAGGTTTTTGAAAATTTGAATTATTTTTGGAGATATAGGCATTTTACTGACTCGGTCTCCTTACTGGTTTGGCTTCGCGCAAAACTTTAAATGCGTTTTTCTCAGAACAGACTTTTTCAGTACTGTTGACACGATTTCTCGAGTTTTAATCGACCGATTCACTTGAAATGTTCAGAGAGTCTTGTTTTTAGACCTATTTATAGCCCGAACTAGGATTATCCCCAAATTTCAATTTTTACTCTTTTTAAAAAATTCGAGAAACTCAAAAAAACAGTAAAAAATACTTTTTTTTCAAACAGTCGTCAAATTATAAAAAAAAATCTTTTTACTCATCGTTAGTTCGGGCGATTGCGACATCATTGTAGATTAATAATCATTTCATTTTTTGCATTTCCGATGGCTAGGAGGGCTGCAATCATGTCAAGATTGAGAGGGCAATTTTTTTTTGAGACCACTCACTTCATCAGCTGCCAGTTTTTACAATTTTCAACTTTTTTATTTTTTCATTTTTGTTTTGTATTTTAATAATATTAAAAAAAAAAGTGGTAAAAAAATGGATAGTAAAAACATTCATTGCTTTCTTTTACGACACTTTAAAAATGATCTAAAATTCATCGCTCTACACTAGAATACCTCCTTAAGTTAATTATGATCAAGAATATTTTTCTGTGCCCCATTTGTGTGATTGACCAATAACTGTGATTTATTTAACGATGAGTGTGAACTTTATGTTTTTTGTTTTGTTTTTGTTCTGATGCTTCAGAAAAATGCACAAATACCATTTATACAAGGTTACTAATTGAGTATTTAAATTTTTTTTCTAAGCATACACGTTTTCTTAATATTTTTTAATAAAATAGAGAACAAAAGATACTGACCAACACTGAATATGTTTAAAGTTCTTTTTTTTTACAAACTTTAATTTTAAATTTGGAAAAACATAAATATATTTATTTATATATCTGCATGAACATTTAAGTCACAATTGATTTAGTTTTATTAATTTTATGTAGTCGGTTATACATCTCTCAATTTTATGTACTAATATGATGGTACAAATATAAATGAATTATTACAATTATTAAAATGCATTTTGTTATAACCAAAAGAAAATTGACCACTTTTATTATCGCGATAGACTTAGCCATGAGCTTAATATACGAAATCTCTGGTATGGTCACAATTATCGAATTCAAATAATATGCTAAGTTGCTTGTTACCCATTTTGGGAATGGCTACGGGCATGAAAAAATTAAAACATGTTTGTTTTCGTATTTCCAGACATGAAATTAATGGATTTGATCAAATATAAAATATTGTAACTTTTTATTGCAAATATAACGTATGCTGTTGTGATTTGTTGTTGAAAAACGTGTGTGCTTCAGAGTAAAGAAAGTACAACTTTATTTGCTTTACATGATTCACAACTATATTAATATTAACTATGTGTATAAAATACAAAATTGATTATTGTAACTTCAGAGTACTGGATTAATTTCTTACGTTATTAGTTAAATATATTAACTTTTAAATTATTCGGCAGGTTCTCCAATAGGACTCGGCATTCTGGTGTTTCATGCGCACCACAGGAATATAATTGTGTTTTGAGCTGGTATCACTTGAATAGAACATAGTTACGAGATATTTTTTCTAGTACTATTACCTAACATTTTGATAATAATTTATAAATATTTGTAATCAAGCATTGTGTATGTGTAAATATTTCAATGTATATCTGCATGCATATGCATAAAAATGGAATGTGTGCAGAAGTATGAATGTACGATGTACATATAAATATGTATATACATACATATATATATACATACATACATATGTATATATATGTATATGTATATATATAGATATGTGTGTGATATTTTGTATATGTATTTATGCATGGATGCGTTTGAAACCTTTTGAGGGAGTATTTTGATTGTTGTGCTCCCTAAAATAACAAATAATTATAAGAAAGTAACACTAAAATGGCTTAAACCAAAAGTAACTCAGGTTTATTATATATTATGGTTGAAATCAATGATGTTACAATTCTATGTATACATATGAATATTAAATGAGGGCTTTACTCATTTTACATTCGATGAGAGCAAGGAGCATCACAAAACTATTTTTGAATTTTATAAGCATTTGTATATTTAGATCTGTACATTATTCACTCTATAATATTGATTTTGTTTATTTTTTGTATAGATATTATTTTATGGGGCGTGTATACACAGTAAGCTAATATTTTTAAAACTGTTTGGTAGAACATAGATAATAGACAATATATAATGATTAGAACTCATGCACTCGCATTCAAAATTTGGCATGCAGTTATGTGATTATAACTGCTTGCATATATTTGAGACACTATTGTGGAAGTGAGAGTAAATACACAGTAGCAGTTTAAAAAAAAAATATGTTAATATCAGCAGATTACAATAATTTTTTAACATTCCGATATTAGGGTTACTGTTAAGTTTTGTAACAGATATATATTTTAATGCAGCTTCATGAAGAATTTTTAATATACATTGTATACAGCTAGCTTCATTTTATTACACATAATTGTTTATTTATGTCTTTCTAATAAAGATAATAGTATTTCTTAGTTACAATTAAGAATTAAAACATTTAAATAAGTACAGATCAATTAACAAGTCGATAAAAATATGCACGATTGAAGTCAGTAATAATCACTGGTCTACTCTTATTTATTATTTTAAGACAATTAATATTGTATATGATTATGAAACTGCATTTGCTTTGCACACTATTCTATTTTGTGTACCAAAGATTTTACAAGTGTTCTTTAGCCAAATTTAATTGTATATTTCCATTTTTTTCATGATTAGCAACTCGCAAATCAATGAGAGAAATAGATTAGGTTGTGTATAATTATAAGTATATATATAATGTATTTTTTTTTGTTTAGGGTGGATAGATGGTTGAATATATATGAAAGTGTTGTGTTACGTGTGATAGGGTGTATATTTATATACATGTCTGTGAAACGTATACTTGTATATATGGATATAATGTGGAACAACAATTTAATATTATTTATTTCTTTTTAAAGCTGCTTTCCTTTAGACATTGGGTTATTACTTCATATATACAATTATATGCAGGCACATCGTTTTTTGTACATATGATCTAATCAGTATGATAATAGTAGTGATACAAAATTGTAAATGAACCGAACATTTTGATCTGTATAAATATTGTCATGTTTTTTGAATAATTTTTATGCCATCATTTAGTGGTAATATGGCATATATAAATGATATATTATTATATATATATATATATATATGTATATACATACATATATATGTGTGTGGATTTGTGTATGAATGAATGTGTGTATATATGTATATGTATATGTATTTTCTGTGTATATGTGCGTACATAGACAGATATCTTATATAATGAAGAAGAATGCTTGGCAAAATGGATGCAATGATTTTCCAATAAACATTGATTCCTTTTCATGTAAACTAAGTTATTATGCAGGAGATAGGAGATAGTATCAACAATAAATTCTATGCGCATATACATGTGTATATAGTATATGTAAGCGAGTGATACATACATCAAATATATATATATATATATATATATATGTGTGTGTGTATGTGTGTGTGTGTTTGTGTATACATATATAAGAAGCACACACATAACTATACTTGCATATATGCATATGTACTTGTACACATAAAAGTATATATGCAAGCTTAACGTACAGTTATAGAGAACTATATAATTTACATATATAAATACATGTATATGCAAATATATATAAATTAGTGTGCATACATATACATACATATACATATTTATACTACTTTTATATATATACAAACTCTTGTTATATTCTTGTACAGTCATTTTAATTAGTAATTTATAGCCACATTGCTGGCAGTAGGGAAAAATAATTTTGCACTGTTGACACTTTGTCGATAACTTAAAGATTAATAAGTGCATGACATGTTAAACAGAATACGTTCTTAGTTGAGTTATTGTTATAACTTGCTATATCGTTTTGCTTGCGTTTATGATTATATCATTTTGTGCTTTATTATCAATCCGTTACTTTTATTGCATAATGAATAATCATATATATACATGTCATTAGAATGTCTCCATAGTATACACTATTTATACAGATGCTAAAGTTTTTATCTGCCTTCAAGATACTATTATGAATGCGATTCATCTTGATTGGTGCAATTTATTAGAAATAATTTTTTTTACTTGCTATACAAAAATAATGCAGAAAATGACAATAAATATTGGTTCATTTTGGTTTGTTATACTCATATGGCAAAGCACACATAGCATTTGAATTCATATTCGAAAGTCTATTCCTGATTTTTTTTGCAATCATATGTTAAAAATTGTATTTTAATATTATAAATATATTTCAAATGTTCCTATTATAAATGAATAATATATATAAATATATACGCTCGTTTAAGTTTTAAAGGAGCTTTATACATAGTCATGAAAGTTCACATAAAGTTCAGGTGAAATTGTTTATAAACATGGCTTATTGATTCCAGCAGTATTTTTAATACTAGTTAATTAATTGTTCTTATTGTAAAGTTTATTATTTATCAATTTGTATAGATCGCGGTAGCAATTGATTCATATCTGTAGTGAAATATGATTTGTTAGACATTTCCATGCATAATATAGCTTAGTTTATTAATTATTAATTTATTATAAAATCCATTTTATAGACATTTATTTTAAAAACATTTCATCATTAAGTATTCAAACATTGTTTTAGACATAATTTTTGCAATAATATAGCTATTTATAATATAATGTTTTCAGTTAACACTTTGCATTTTATTTATTAGCTCCTCAATAATCTCATTGTGTACATTAATACATATATTTATTGATATGAATATTAATATATAAACATATTTAATTTTAATATTTTCTATCATTCCAAATAAGAGTATACTGATAGCAAAGTTGAACTACCTGTACTTCATTTGTAATTAAACAATGTTCAAACAAAATAAAATGAATTTTATTTTTCATAATTTTATGCGTTTTTAATAATATTTTAAATATATTCAAGATATTTTGTTGTATTTGCTTAAGTTGTTACAAAACATAATGAAGTTACTGATATACATCAATATGTTTTATTTTATTTCAATTTTCCATAATATCATTTTCCATTAATATCATTTCATATTTTCATGTAATCATTATTGCATTCTTATATATTCAAATATGAATTTTGTGTACTTTAATAATCATTGTGCAGTGTTTTAAAAAGAGAATTTAAAATGTATCTTAGTTACAAAATATATTGAAATTATCACTAAGTCTCGCTACTTTCAAAATTAAAAATGTTCTTGCATAAAACATCATAGAAATTAATGTTACTCAAAATTCTTTATGCATCGTTTAAATGACGAATATGCATTATTTTAGTTTGTGCCTTTGATAAATCAAAATATGCGAGAAAGATATTTTATTTATATAGAGAAAGATATTTTTAACAACATATGGAATGTGTAATAGAGTTGTACTGTTAAGGAGTCAACGTTTGTGTCATAGATACAGAGGAAAGAGTGCAGAAAATAGAAATCGAATTTTTGAGAGAACGAAGCATCCGATTTGAATTCAATTTCTAATGATTGGGAGAAGTGGCGATTAGTTTTTGAAAAAGGCAGGTTCAGCCATTTAGAAGATACAGAGCTAAATGTACAAAAAATGGCAGTTTTTGAGAAAAATGCATCCGATTTGAATGATTCAAAAAACTCTTGCTTGTCTTGACGAAATAATTGCTTTTGAAAAAAAAATACTTCAATTTTTTTTTGAATATCGAAAATAATTTAGATTTTAATTTTAGTTCTGGTTAAAGTTCTAAAGCTCACTTATATACTTTAAGTGAATAATTCTAATTTTGTAATTCAGTTTATATAATTCTTATAAATATTAGAAGTTCCAGCAATTTGTCTTAAGGCACGATGCCATACACCACTAGTTTTAGTTTTCTCTTGTAATTTGGCATTATGCAAATTAATAAACAAATAAAAAGAAGAAAATCCTGAATAATAATAAAAATTATTGTTTCTTTCTGGATCTGGAAATACATGTGTATGTAGTCTGCCAATAATTTGAATTTTGCCTCTCATTTTTAATAATTCATTTTTTTAGTGTTGCATAAACTGTTAAATGTGTCATGTCTCTATCTTCAAATTATTGATTCAGCACTGACTTGCACTGACAATTGTATGACACTTGCGACATTTGGCGTCATTGATTATTGCTCTGTTTGTTATTCTTTACAATTCTAGGCTTACATTAATGCAATTGTTATAAGCAACTGCTCTTGTGCCCGTGAAAGCTGTAATATTTTGTGTAAAGTTATGCACGATTCGGTAATATGCCGATCGCTATATCCACTTACAATCCGATCTTCATCGAAAATGAAAGTAGTTTGGAGATGCTGTATGATCTGCTAAATGATGATTTATTTGTTTATCTCAAATCAAAATGTATAACTTACTATAACTTAAATCAATAAGCTACTAATTTGCTTATTGTTAAATATTGAATAGATTTTTCAGAGAATGTGAAATTCAATAATGAAGTTTAGCATTTGCAAAATGTGTTAAAATCTTCTTTATTACTAAATTCAATGACCACCATGGTTTTAAATTATGTGTTAATCGGAGTGTGTTCACTCTTATTTGCGATTGGAAAATCGGATTTGACAGATACTATAACCCATGATGGGTTTTGCGGTTTATACAATGGGCAAGTAAGTATACAAATTTCAATTTTTTTAATGTTTTGGTATATTGGCACTTTCTAATCTTTTTCAAATGGTTAGATATGTAAGAATCATTTACGTGGAAACGCTGTGTGGTATAATTTTTCACATGAAGGTGGATTGTTAAATGAACAAATCACAGCAGGATTATGGGATGAAATGATTGTAGGACTACCAGAACCCTGTCGAAGTGCAGCTGAGGTATGTTAATATGAAACTTATTAAATTTTGTACACTTTTTGACAAATAATTAATAACGACATCCATTTAAGATCAATAATTTGAGTATTTACATCCTGATATATAAAAACAACAGGCACACATATACACACAGATTTTAAGTCAAGTGTTTTCTTCTTAAAAATCCTTTCGTTCAATAAATAGTTTGTTACGAATAGTCATTCCTAACATCAAGGGAATAATATTTTATCTCACGTAACAAACTCAACAAACACATAATTCAAAGAAATTTTGAATTACAAAATTTGTTTCTTGTCTGAAAACAAATTTATAAAATCACTTTTTTTCGATAAAATCTTTTTTAGTGAAAAAGTGTTGATGCATAATCAATCATACAGGTAATTAATTTTGCTTTTTCTTAACCTTTTTTTAAAAAAAACTTTCAAAATTTCTAATATTTTGTATTATAATATATTCATTTATTTTCATTACTTTCATTTTGATTATATTGTCATACTTCTTAAATGTTATTTCTTCCACAATTTTATTCGTTTTATATATAAAAAATCCACTTTTTTCTACTTTTCTTAAATATTTTGTTTATTTAAATCTTATCAAGATCATGTTTCTTGACAGATGTTCAGAAGATGTAAAGTACCTAGTTCCGAAACGTCAATAGTAAATAAATAAATGTTTTTTTAAAAAAAACTTTTTTTTATTACTTTTTGGATTTTTTGTTTGAAACTCTACAAAATATTATATATATATATATATATGTATATATATATTTTTTTTTGACACCAAGCACAAAATTCAAAAAAAATTTTTATTAAAGAAGAAAAGGTCTTATCATTACAAATCAGCATATTTTATATGTGTCTTGCAGAAACTTTTATGCACATATGCCTTTCCTGAATGTCAGTACAATGCTGATATACCTATTGGTCTTCCAATTTGTTACGAAGATTGTATAGCAGTGAAAATGCAGTTCTGTTATAATGAATGGGCTATGATAGAAGACAAAAAGTCTAGAGGAATATTTTTTAAATCTAGGGGCCATTTCTTATTACCTGACTGTGAAACTTTGCCAAAATTTGATGTAAGAAGTGAAAAGCCTACTTGTTCAACAGCAAGTCTCACAATAATGAATTTTGAAGAAGTTACATGTATGTGTGCTTAATGAACTACTTTATGCATTCTTGGGATTTATTAACTGCTATGATGTTTATTACTAGATGACTGTCGTCATGGTACAGGCCGTTTTTATCAAGGAGTGGTAAATACAACATATTCAGGTATACCATGCCAACATTGGAGCTCACAAAAGCCTCATTCTCATGTAAGGCCCCCAGATGTTTTTCCTGAAGTTCAAAATGCTGAAAATTATTGTCGCAATGCTGGAGGTGAAGAACCATCACCATGGTGTTACACAATGGATGAAAATGTTAGATGGGAAAGATGTGATATACCATTGTGCGGTAATTGTTGAATTTTGTTACGGTTGTTGTTTTCTAAGTTTTCTAAGAAACTCTTTCAATCATTTTGTAATTATTTTGAGGAAGACTGAAATATTTTACTTTTAAATGGTTTATTTTGAACTAATCTATTGAAACATTTCAGCTAATTTCTCGGAAGGAAATTTGCCAACTAACATAGTGATGGAAGAAGTTTTCACTCCAATATTTATTCTTACTCTAGCAGGTGTTGGGTTTGCGGTCATTGTTTTAATTCAACTCATTATTCTGTTTGCTTATCGAGTTTATAATCATAAGCAACAAGTTGTACTTGGTTATGATAGAGCAGCAACTCAAGATCATAATATTGATTTAGACAAGCTTCCTAGCAATCAAGCATATCATAGAACTGGTGCACAATTAAATCCGAAACTAGAGAAGCTAGAGTTTCCGAGAAATAACATCTTATATATTAGGGATTTAGGGCAAGGTGCATTTGGCAGAGTTTTTCAAGCTAAAGCTCCCGGTTTAGTCAGTGAAGAAGAATTTACACTTGTTGCTGTTAAAATGTTGAAAGATGAGGCCTCAGAAGATTTGCAAGTTGATTTTGAGAGAGAAGCATGTTTACTTGCTGAGTTTGATCATCCAAACATTGTAAAATTACTAGGTGTTTGTGCAGTAGGACGTCCTATGTGTTTATTGTTTGAATTTATGGGCAGAGGTGATTTAAATGAATTTTTAAGATCATGTAATCCTTCAGCTCATCTCATTGGGTCTTCTGCTATAAAGCTACATGAAGGAGTGAATTTAGGGTACTTAGAGTTATTAAACGTAGCACAGCAAGTTGCTGCCGGTATGGTTTATTTATCTGATAGAAAATTTGTACATCGTGATCTTGCAACCCGTAATTGTTTGATTGATGATAATATGGTGGTTAAAATTGCTGATTTTGGTCTATCCCAGAAAATATATTTACAAGATTATTACAAAGGTGACGAACATGATGCAATTCCTGTGCGATGGATGCCTTTAGAAAGTATATTATATAATAAATACACTTTAGAATCAGATGTTTGGGCCTACGGTGTATGTCTTTGGGAAATATTTTCATTTGCTTTGCAGCCATACTATGGAATGACACATGAAGAAGTAGTTAAATTTATAAAAGAAGGCAATATGCTAAGTTGTCCAGAGAATACACCTCCGGAAGTGTATGATATAATGAAAATGTGCTGGCAAAGGAAACCACAGTCACGACCTAAATTTAGAACTATATATCAAACACTGGACAACATTCAGAGAAGCAACAATGCTCAAGTTGTACAATGAAATTACTCCTTTCATATTACCTATTAATTATTCAGATATCTGTTACCATAATGGTATTTTATCTTATGTGTATTTACATATGATTAACGCTATCTATCAAATTTATTATCTAACTTTAAGTATATTTTACAACAAACTGTAAATAGTATGTATTGTACGTATTCACGTATTCACGTATATTGTACGTGTTTTCAACCGTAATGAAATCTTCAGATTTCTTATGAAATCTTGAATATATATTTTTTCTTATGATTTATTTTATCAAGAAGTGATTAATGGTGATATTTTGAATCTCTGCAGCTTTTGCAATATGTGATTTTTCAATTCTTCATTCATTGGGAGTTTGTATTTCATATGTATTTGGAACCTTTTATAAAGGTAAACTTGAATTAAACTGTATTATATACATAACACTATATTTGACTTTGTGACTGCCATTTTGATCTTGCTTTTGTAAATAGTATTATTTAACTAAAAAGTGCATTTATAATTAGAAAATTAATTCTTTTAACAAATATTTTGATATTTGTAAAACTTGTTCAATGTAGTTGGTTAGTATTAAGAATGAGATGTATTTGTTTATATTTAGAAGTAATACATCATTTGCATATATGGACTCAAGTATAAAATAGACCAAGAGAATTGATTATAAGACTATCAAAATAATAAAATATTTGTACAACATAAACAGTATTTTATATAATTTATTTTGAATTAAATATTTTTTATAACCATTTTTTAAACCATTCTCTGTATTAAGCAAACAATAGTTTCTCATCATCCATAAAATTAAATTAAAATATCATGAAAATTGATCTTTTGAAGCATTCAATATTTAAATTACATCATTAGATTCAACATCTAAGCACTTTTGTCAACATCTAATGAAATATCATCCCATTTCTTTTTTCTTTTACATTTTAAACAGCCCTCTGAAGATTGCAAACATTTTGAATGATAAACCGCATGGCATAAATTGCACTACAATAAAAAAATTAGTTACAATTTTGGTCACTTGTATCTATTACCTCAAATTCACAAACTCGCATTACCCTAAATGTGGTCTCTAAATTAAAAGGGTATAGCACTTTAACATTATTGCAAATTTCACATATATATCCCTTCTGACAACAGAGAGAGCAATCAGTGACATGAGCTATACCAAATTGTACAACTTTTGAAATTTCTTGTTTCAAATATCCACCTGGAATTTGTGTTAAGTCCTGTACAAAAATTAATATTTAAAACACAGTATGTAAAAAAAAAACCTTGCTCAGTCATAATTCTTCTTACATTGATAGAGTAAAGATGGACATGTTCATACAAATAATCTCTTGGCCACAATTTCTTTTGTAACTCTTCAATCACAGGTTCCCTGCAAGTGAATAGGTATGCTCTCAAGAAATTCAATTGTATTCTTAGTGCTTGCAACTGTGACATATCTTCAATGACACTATATATGTACGGATTTAATATCTATAAAATATAAAGTCAGTATGATATTAACACAATACTAAATAACACAAAATTACTTTTAGGTCAATCAATGGATGATGCAGAAACTCCTTTAGAAATCGGGCTGCACTGTGAGATACATTGTATTTATGAAAATCCCAATTATATACCACTTTAGCAGGTATTACAAATAATTCTGTGCTCATACAAGATTCACAATAATAATCTCCACTGAATGCGCAAACTCTATAAATTTACATATGATTGTTTAGACTTTCATGTTCTTAATGTAATTTTAAAGTGTTAGAAAGAACTTACTGCTCTCTTGTAACATGAATACCTAATGCGTTGGAACAACTTTTGCAAGTAAAATTTTGATGACGGAGACCTTTTTGTTGAGCCAACTGGCATAATTGTTCAACATGCCTTTGCAATTCGGGCAATGTAAATATACTACTTAAGCTGTTAGAAATTATCTCAAACTCAGCAAGCTAAAAATAATTCTGAGATTTTTTCACAAGTATTTACAAAATTTACCATCAATATGAATATTAAAACAACCTCTGGTTTTGTGGAATCCAATTCTTCTGGTTCATTTGCTGATGATGATAGCTGTTGGTAAAAATTCTCCCAAATACTTTTCAAATCAGGTGTGCTGTCGAGCTTTACTGTATTGACGGTGTAACTTTCTAATAGAGCATTATAGCTGGAAACATCATTGCCTTTTACAGAATTTTGACGTGACGTACTAGGCCTTATATTATCAATATCAGATTTTATGGATGTTACTTGCTCAGTTCCATCTGACCAGGCAGATTTTCCGGAAAGTGAATTTCCTATGAAGGGTGCCTTGTCTTTTACATTAGAATCCGGCACTGTGTTGATAGTTTCATCACATTTAGTTTCATTAAGTAGATTTTCTATTTGTTGTTGAGTTTTTGAATTATCTTCACTATCATTATTAACAGATTTAGATAAAATTATATCTAGGGCTTCTTGTTCATTGAGAATTAGATTCTGGTTTAAGCTCGACGATGGACTTGGCATGAAGTTATCAGTTAGACAAATATTGCGGAAAGAAGGGATGGGAATTTGTGTAGATTCATGTAATGTGCTCACAATGTCTACTGCAGATGAAATCTAAAATAATTACAACCAGAATGTTTTGATATTTGAAATATTCGCAAAGATAATGATACTTTGAGAACAAAAACTATTTTAAAAGGACAGAGAAATGAAGAAACTAATAACTAATGAAGAAAAACTTGTGAAATTACCGGATGAGTTTTCATAGCTGGAGCCCATATGCCAGCAATCAATAATGTTTGGTGATTCCAGGAATTTAATAAACTAGAATTGTAAGGTAAATTAAATGTCACACTGCTTTCAAAGCCTTCAATATACTTTTTAGCTATCTCCATCAAATCATTGTCTCTCAAAAATGCATGATTTTTATAATATGGAGACAATGAATTTAAATCTCTTCTCATAATATCAAAGTATGAGGATAATAATCCATCATTAAGAGCTAAACGCACCCATGAGCGACAATATCCTATATCATTAGTCAATTGTTGTAAAGATAATATCTGTAAATTAAATATTATTTTAAAACATTCACTTCATTCATGTTTGAGTGAATAAAAGATTATTAACAAAATGACTTTCTTCGTTATTTTTTAGTTGCAACTGAGTATGGTATTCCATAATTAATTATAATAGTAATGCTAAGTTGTTCCAAGCTAAAGTTCATTTAACTTACATTATCTATAACATCACGATGAGAAAATACAAGTAGCAAAGGCCAGAAACTAATTTCTGGGGGTTCATCAATTTTATCCAATAATACATTTTTGGCCTTTCTAATTAACGTGTCTTTTAACCCATGCAATAAAATTGCCTCTAGAATAACACACAAAGAGTTTGTGGCATCATTACCGCACAGAACACCTTAAAAAAGCAACAAATAAGAACGAATACTTAATTAATTTAAACTAAAAGAATATTATTATTAAACTTAATTTAATTTACAAGCAAAACTTCAAACGATTATTCATATTTATTTTTACAACGATTTGGTCTGTACAAATACCATTTTTATTATCTCTCAATTCTAGCTGAATTTCCTTGATGCTGTTTGATAACTGAGTTATCAAGGAATTTTTAATCGATGCATTTGTTCCATTTTTTCTTTTAATCCTGTTAAGAAATAGAGACATTTTTAGAACATATTATATATAATTTATTTAGAGTTCTTGGTCCTTGATGACAAGTAAATATTTTCAAAAGTGTTCAATCCACGAATGATTTTGACAGCCAACTGTCAAAATTTTAGTAAATGTCATTTTGCTGTCAAATTATTGAATAATATAAACAATTTATTATCTTCCGGTAAAATAATAGAAATTACCAATAATAATGCATTGTTAGAAAAATGCTAAATAGATAAATACAATTTTAGTAATATGAGTATGCAGATAAAAAATAAAAATAACCATAGTGAACGGAATTTGACAAATACTGAAGTAATAGTTGAGCAGTGATTAGATAGAATTAGAAAATCAGATGTCATTAATAATTTGGATAAAATTAAATTAATATTCAATAGGGAATTAAATATTTTAATATTTTATCCTATAAGCTCGCCTTTTATAAACAGATAAAAATATATTTTCTCCATGTTGTAGAGACCGTATGGCAACACTACAATTTACAAATGGAGTTTTTTGACTGATTTGTTTTGTGTCCGGCTTTTGTTCGAAAGCCAAAAATTGTTCAATACAAAGTGCTCTTGTTGATTGTTGTTAAATTAATTGTTGTGTATGCTTATTATAACAATATTATTGCTTTCATTCGTGAAACTAATGTGAAACTTGTGATGTGATCGTGTAATCTGCAAATATGGTTGAGCAGTGACAGCCTCTGTACTACAATGCGTCATGACTGTTAGGAAAACAGATTTACTCGACACCCAGGTTTGAATAAACTTTAAACAAATTATTAAATAAAAGTGCTTATTTCATATTCTTAATATAATTGTACTTATGGTTCCCATTCGCCTCGTCTTTGTGTGCTCTCGCTTATGATCAACACGTTTCTTTAAGGATGGGTTAAGGAAAACTATCCTTTTCTTGTGTCATGTTTATTTTCTTATAAGATGATAATTAGGAATGTTGTATAGTACATTTTCTTTACTGTAATTTTGTGATATGGTAATATAAACTTCGATTAGTTTCCTTCGGTCCTTTTCAGTGGCTTAAGGTGAGCCATAAATCTTACCCTTAATCAAATTAATATTGTGTCATGTATTGCATAATATTCAATTAATTAATATTTCTTAATTGTACCTTACATCTGTGCCATGTGCTATATGTCTATTCGATTCTTCAATTATATCAATATTCAAGTTTTTAATATTTTTTCTTAATTGCTTCGTTTTGTTATATTAATTGGTGTAATTATATTTGTTGTTTTATTATGATTATTAATGGTCGGTTGTTGTTATTATTCATGATGCTATATTTAAATATCGGTATGCGTTCAATTTGTTTATCGCACGAGATTGTTATGAATTCAACGAAATGTTGATATAACTATTGTATTATTATTTTTGCTTTAATTTTATTTTGCTGTCGCGTTTTAATTAAGTGATAAATGCTAATGAAATATGCACATATATTTTTGTACGAAATTTTTATCATAGATAGAGAACAGTCAGTACAGTACACATTTGCTATTCTTCAATAATAGTTATTTATGTTTGTGATGTTAAAAAAAATTACCATAGTGCACTACTCCATATGAGTGTTGTTATTTAAAATTAAAATTATTTAACAAATAAGTGCAAAAGGAGTGCAGTGTATTTATATTTATAACTTTACTAGCAAACCCGACTAACTCCGTTTCGCCACCAGATGGTTTCGTGAGAAAGATGAAGAAAATTTTTTGTTTTGTTTTATATTTAAAAAGGAAAAATTTGATTTTATTACGCAACAGTAATGAATTTATTTCGATTACAAAAATGAAGTGTTTTTAGTTGAACTTCTCTAAGTAAATGAAAGTGAATCCGCAAATTATCCGTTTCATTGAAGTGCTCTTTGGTAAACCACATTTTTTGTTTTTTGGTCTGACGTTAAAACAAACAAAGCGGATGGTTTTCCAACTCGTGAACAGGCAACGTATAACTTCCCATGTGAAAAACAATGATTTTTAAATAATCTATTTGAAATTTATCCCGCAAACACTAAGCGATTGCCCTTGCGACTTGTTATTGCGAACACAAGGCGAACTGGAAATTGCAAACGTTTGAAGTCAAACGGAAGACCAGTCGGAATCATTGGTATGTCACCAAATCGCCAGCAATTTTTGATTGAATGGTGAAATTCAGTGCGTGTACATCGTTATTGTTTGCGGCAAGAATTGCTCGTTAACTTAACTAAGCTTAATTCTGATAATTCTCACTAATGTCATTACTCGAATAACCTTAGCTATAAACCTTGCGGAGCCCGAGACCTTTCCAACGAATGCAAAATTGTCGAAATCGGTTCGTGCGTTCTGGAGTTATATCGTCAGGAAGGAAAACCCAGGATATATATGCTATATATATATATATATATATATATATATATATATATATATATATTTGTAAAATTTTTAGCAGCCCAACAGTCGAATTAAAAAAAGAGATTAAATAACAAAATTATTTATTCCATTATACGTTATATATATATATATATATATATATATATATATATATGTATATATATTTGAAGTCTTGAATTTGATGTTGATATATATGTTTAATTTGAGTTAAAAAGTCGGGCGTTACATCAATAAAAATAGTATGAGATTTTTTTAAAAATTTATTTATTTAAAATCCATACGTTTCGGCTAGCATCTTAGCCTTCATTCAATGGTAATTTAACTATAAAAATTAAAACTAAATAAATAATATGTAAGAGAAATTTCATAGAAAAACAACAACAATAATAATAATAAAACACTTACAATTTTGTATCCTAATATAACATATGAAACCATTACTAATGGTATGAGTATGTGCACATTGATCACAGATTGTAAAACACACTAATAAACATGATAACTTAACAAGTTGTCGAAACTATGTATTTACTGTTCGAAGTTTGAGATAGAAATGTCACATTTTTTCAAGGGATGTAGATTTTTCGAAAAACCAGAAAAAATTTTTAGGCTTAAAATATACTTTGAACCTTTTAGAATATGAGGAAAAATATTCCATACCTAAAACTTTATTTTTTTACTTGTAATTATGAGCTTTTCCCATGCGCGTCGGGCTGCTCCGAACCGACACCGCTCAATTCATTAAAAACTGGTGGGGCGCATGGCATCGTGCCTTAAGGCAAATTGCTGGAACTTCCCGTACCAAAAATTATTATTTATTAAAAAAAAACGATTAACATTTGCGAAAAAATTTTACTTCGAAAAAATTAGATTTTTGAGAAACTATTATGTCCGCAACTAAGTTTTGCTGTTTTTCGATGAAAATGTAACTTTATTATATACAAACTCTTACATCTGATTTATTCAAAGTATTGCCCATCGCTAGACACATCTTTCGCACAACTTTCTGGCAGAGCTCGAATATCTTGGCGCCAAAAGTGTTCGTCTTTTGAGGCTATCCACGAACCAAGTCATTTTCTAACGTCTTCACATGAGTTGAACTGCTGATCTGCCAGGTCCTGTGCCATCGAATGGAACAAGGTAAAATCGGATAGTGCAATATCTGGGAATATAGTGGGCGGGGTAGGACTTTTCATTTGAGCGTTCCCAATAAGTTTTAATAGTCTTGGAAACGTGAGGCCAAGCGTTGTCATGCAGTAAAATCATTCTGCTCGTATTGTGGCCGTTTTTCGCGCAGTGCTCGGCAAAATTGCGTCAATTGAGTTTGACACAGTACTCCAGTGATAGTTTCGCTCGGTTTCAACAGCTCATAATAAATAACACCGACCTGGTCTCACCATATGAAGAGCATAACCCTCTCAGTAAATATTCGGCCA